AAACCCTCGTTCACCGAATTCGTAAAACACCATTTTAGTGGTATCGCCCGGAATCGTGTAAGTCACAAAACGTTTTCAATAATGAGACAGAATTAGTGATTCACCGCATTTATCAATACAATGGGTGTGAGCGCGGGCAAGTAAGGAATCAGAAACTTACAAATTCACGCATGCAAAAAAGCTGCTCCAATCGCGCGTTCTTCCATACCGTAGTTGTTTTCGCTGCGGGTGCGCCAGCCTGCCGCGCGATGTCGCGTTGCGAAGAGCGAAAAAGTCGCGTTCTGTCCTAAGTACCCACACCCCGTAGGCCGATGTCATAGTTTGCGAATCGAGCGATTCGCCAGCGAATCGAACGTTGCACCAGCGAATCGACGATGCACCAGCGAGTCGAACGATGTACCAGCGACTCGACACTGTTTGAAAGTGGCGGGACTTCCTTTAAACGTTGGGTCCCGCCACTTTCAAACAGTGTCGAGTCGCTGGTACATCGTTCGATTCGCTGGCGCAACGCTCGGATCCAGCGATTCGCTAGCGAATCGCTCGATTCGCAAACTATGACATCGGCCGTATCGAGCAAAGGGTCATCGGCATATTGCATCGACGAATGGTCATTGGACGGGACCAGTCCGATCAATGTCCACCTAGTCCTTTGAACATAATTAGCAAATCGCATAATCGGCAAATTTTGGATCGATATGTATGTTTTCCTGTCAGCTTGTTCGCCAAATGGCATCAATGGCGATCTGTGAACGGGGCCCATGCACGCATCGTACCACATCGTATCTTGACAAATATCCGGACAACATTGGTTACGGGGCAGTACTTTACCAACCGTAAGAGTCCAGTCAGAAAAGCATAAATTTTGTGTTTTCTGGGACTAAGCCTTTTAAAGGAGGAAAAGAAAGCAGGGCGAAACGCAGGTTTGGGGTGGAGACACGCGATGGCGCGGCGCTCTGTTCGTCTGCTCCTCCAGGGCTTAGTCCACAGGGACAGTTACTCTTTCGCCATTATGTGGCAGTTTCAAAAGCGCCATCGGTGACTAAGCCCAGGTAGAGCAGACAAAAACGGTTACGGACTACTTGAACTTTCTTCCATGGTCCTGCCACGAATGGCGGAGGGCACAGACAGTTAGAGAACGGCGCCTGGCTCGGCTCCAAATCCCAGGAAGGAGGTGAGAGCCCTAGGACTAAGCCTTGTAGGAGGGAGGGACTTCGAGGTGGGTGAGCCAACTACAGTGTGGCAAAAGTTTGAATGTGTGAGATCACATGGTCATGAGCCGCTGATAAGGTGAGAGAGCGCAGACGAGAGATGGATCTGAGGCGGCTTAAAGGACCGGGTTCAAGTAGTCCGTCAACCGAGCGCTGCGCCATCGTTCCCCCCCCCCCGCGAATCCGAGTTTCACCGAAAGCAGAGGTGCCGTAATTGTGCCCAGAGCACACTGTAAAATGCTGGTGAACCGTCGCCCTTGGGCGGACAGAATGGGGAATTGGTGTAGTTACACAACACACCCTCGTTTTGAATGTTCAGTTAATTTCCCAAAATGTTAACCCCTTACCCAGACGTTGGTGGAGACCCCTCCTGAGAGACCTAATAGACCGCGCCCTTTTTCGGTAAGATTACCTAATTTCTGGCTGCCTGACCCTGAGTAATTGTCGCCAATGTTAACGTGCCACTCGCGCTATGTCGCCCCTCGTTCGCGGCTCTCAACTGTGTTTGACCTTTGCTTATTCCTCCGTTATTGATCGGTACCGCAGCGCATTACATCTTTGAGTGTCGAACGTTTCAGACAAGCTCATGGATCATCCAATGATGCAGCGTCTGCTGGATGTGAAGTTCGACACCAAACGCTTCGTCTCGCTTGTCACTCATGGCGGTGAGAATTTTCCGGATAAGGAAGGGCGAAAGTTTATCGCTGAACACTTCGACATCACGATTCAAGTAAGTCACCTCATCAGTTACGTTGATTTTTGACCTTCGCTTGTTCATATCAATACTTTTTCTTCGACTTACTCGAGTTATTGGTCTACTCTCTCCAATCCCTGCAAAAATTGGAGGTTGTAGTGGCTAAGAGGGAGGGGAAGAACATAAAATTCTCCGAAGGCGACGGTACGAGTGAAGTAAGGATCCACTGATCGACTCTTTCTGGGGTTTATTGAGAATTGAAGGGCAAGGTAGGGTATTAAAGAAGGCAGCCGTAATGGGAGAGCCTCAGGCACCCTGTAATTAGTAATACGGTATAGACATCATTTGGAAGAAAAGTAGCATGCAATCTCTCGACGATCTGAGGTTTGCGGGTCGATCTGTCGATTTGCCTGTCTGCAAATTGACCAGGAGTGTGGAAGGGTAGTAGGAAAGTCACCATCAGCAGGACAAGAAAACAATCTCCTCGCACGAATTAATTTTACGAAATGTTGTGATTGCGTCTGCATCTTGTTGGCAATCCCTATCTGCTGCAAAAGTCTCCAAGTAACCACTTTTCGACCATTTCATACGATATAGGAGCTGCTCAAAGAGATCTAATCAAGGATATCAAATATGATCAAGAGCTGCGATACGGTAGTCTTGTTAGCGCTTTTCTAGTAATGAGGAATTCTTTTTGTATGTACAAATCCACCTTATAAGTGGTTCCTCAAGTGTATCTGAGCAGACAGGAGAGGGGTAGCGTCCCAAAAAAGTGGAGAAGTTTCGGATTTCCCGAAAGAAAAATGCTCGCATTCAGTTTACGGCCTGAAATGTATTTTATCGAAAGCTTTTCATTTTTTGAAATTTTCTGCTCAACTTGTGACTCTCACATGCCTCTTCTTGCTTTTTCTGTTCGACGAGGAGGTTTTAGTAAAGCTTTGAGGGTTAAAGTGAATTTGATCTGCTGTAAATATTATTTCTGAATAGGTGACCTGCCTTGAAGTCTTTCATTTTTGGTGTTTTAGGCTTCCATACTGTATGTACTTGTTGTATTCGGAACGAAATTTTTAATGCGAAATCGTCAACCGTTCTCACTATTTGTGCCCCTGAACATTTGGAACTTCACTTTGGCCGCGTTTTCTATTATGGGAATGATCAAGCTGACGCCGGAGTTCTGGAGCACTGTTTTCGATAAGGGATTCCAAAGTAAGTGTTGCTTTCATGGTATTACTCAATATACATAAAGAAAGAGAGTCACTTGCCTGCCATTGCCGTCTTAATGTATGATCCCAACTTAGCGTGGCAGTGAGAGCTTAGCACCGGTTCTCAAGGCCGTCTTGTCGGTTCACTTATCTAGTCGTAATGAACGGTCTGTTGCTTTCTGTCCCCAAACCTAGCTAATGGTAGAGAGATGATGGACGTGTGTGCACACCTTGGAATCGGTTTTTAGGAGTCACTTACAGCCTTTTCTGCCATTTGCCTATAATAATTATGTGGACACACCGAGGTCGATCTAATTTTTTGCGCCAATTTCCTGGTTCATTTCCACTTTTCCTTTCGATACTTATTCTGCCATCAATCCCTCTAAGGTTGACATATTTCTAAATAAGAGCAAGCAAAGATAAGGTCCCTCATGTTGTTGGATCCTAATCGGGATCGCGCACCAACCTGCTCTCCGTCCTCATATGCTAGAAAATAGATCCAGAATTCTGTTGCTGGCTCGGTTGTCATTGGTGGTCGTTCTTAATTTTCATGGGCTCAAATTTCAAATCTCGACTGCAGCTGTTTTCGAGAAGCCAACATGCAAAACCCATGCTGGCCACAGCACGGGTTTTGCATGTTGGCAAATGGACGTCCATAACACTTGTTCTATTTGGAGAAAAGCCATATCAAGGGTCTCGGATGGTAGGTTAGCTAGCACATTTTCAAGACCTCACCTCATCAAAAACGTAGAGGTGGTTTGCTCTCTTCACGTCATTGGACGAAAAAATAATATCACAAGTGACCTAAAATGTCAGTAAAATTGGTTGAGGAGTAGATCGACGAGACAGGTATCGGGAGCCTGGTTCAGAGCATGCCAAATAGGATGCCTGAACTAATCAGAAGTTGGTAGGCCTACTGTTTTTGATTCTGACGATCTTTGTTTTTTTTTTTTTTGAAATTGTCCGCGTATTTTTGTTAAAGGCGAAAGTTTCCGTCAAATAAGAAAAGGTAAAGCTGCATGTAAATTGGTGACAAGTGAGAATTTCTAAGGTTTTCGCATTCGAAGAAATGAATGGTCTCATGGTGCAGAAATCAAAGTTATCTTGTGAAGGAAAAATATTGACGTGTCCACATGCTCTTTTATGCACTGTAAGGGTACATGCGTATACAGGTCCTTTTTTTCCAAGCAGTCCTTTGAGCAGCAAAAACCTGCGGCTTATATTATGCATGAATCGTTGTGTAAAGCGAGGCGCGCTCTGAAAGAACTTTCTGGTTAGTAGTGGAGCGTTGGCTCAACTGTTAGAAGGCTTACTAAGTGCTAGGGTTCTCTGCCGTAGTTGTAATTTTGGTTCGTGTTCCAATGCGTTGTATCCTGAAAAATTCCATTTTTTCTCTCTCGAAGTCAACCACGCTGTTCTTGTGCAGGCTTTTTCTTTAGTGTTTGAGCAGTGCTCTCGAGCACCTTATTTTGAATTCTTCGCCCACAAATATTTCTACAATTTCCTCGTTTCTCGATTCTTCATTTCTCGAATTCAAATGAGTTATAAGGGAAGCTGAAGCTTTAATATTGTGGAAGTAAAATATAACATTTATAATTCAGATTCCTATTGTTTTGCTTACGATTTCACGAAAGGTGAAAATGGTTATTGGGTGTTCCTTTTCATAGTATCAAAACTTTTCGAGCTCGTCGATACTGTATTTATTGTTCTCCGGAAACGGCCACTCATGTTCCTCCACTGGTGAGTCTTTTTTTTCCTATTTTTTCAAAGTTTCCAATGAATACATCCATTGACTCCTTGCCTCCTCTCGGTTTTCATAGGGAACTCTATTAGGGGATCTCAAACATTTACTTGATATGGATTTCGTTCTGTGATCGGAAAAGAAACGCCTGAATTGCAGTAGTTTCGATGGCTGATCTCATTCAGGTATCACCACATCCTCACTGGTATTTATGCTTTCTATTCCCATCCTCACACTCCCGGATTTAATCGATATGGGATCTACCTCAACTACACTGTTCACGCATTTATGTACAGGTGAGCTCGGCTGCTGCTTAGACCTCCAAGTTCTTTTTTAGTACTTATGGTTTCTTTTTCAGCTACTACTTCTTGCGTTCAATGAAAATCAACGTTCCCGGTATTGTTGCCAAGTTTATAACCACTCTGCAGATACTTCAGTTTGTAATTTCGTGCGCTATTCTGGCACATATTGGCTATCTCGTGCACATCGCAGGGGTACGTGAAATTTTTCAACGTTTTGTGAATTTGCGACATCTAGAGCTAGTGGTTCCGATTATTACATAGTTTAAGGGTGTACAATATTGGTTATAGGAATGGGATGGAGACGGGTGTGTGGTGTGGCTGCGCTAGTACAACAAATATATCAGATAAATATAAGAGAAGCATGAATTGATGAGAAGTGATTGAAATTATGTTTGTGGCAATGATCAAGGAAACGAGGATGTGAATACCATTTATTGCAAAGTTTATGTGCAGTATCGTCGTAGGTCGATCAGAGAATTGCGACTGTTTCGAAGACACAAACCACCTGCAGAATTGTTTTGGTTGACAGTAGTTTGAAAAAGTCTGACCAGGTGGGTTCGCGTGGGCGAGAGGGTAACGGCTACATCCATCTAAATGGATCTCTGAAGTGCGCCGCACATTCCCCTTCGATAGTTCGGCTAATGCGACAGCTCTCCTGTCTTTGGTCATTATAGGTCGTTATAGAGCTGTAGCTTCAGTTGCTTCTCTGCTTTTGTGAGTTCTGTGGTGCTTAGGTAATCCTCCCCACTGCATCTCCGAAGTCGCAATTCATAGCGAGCGTCGCGATACAAATGACCCTGGAATTCGATGAAGGAGGGCGGAGACGGATGTTTCCTGTCTTTTTTAGTTTCCTTTCAATGTTCTGATATGCTCCCCAACTTATATGCCGCTTCTTATGCAAACCCTTGAGCTGAATCAATCATCTTCTCGATTTCGGACTAGTTCTACTATACAATAATGGCGGGCCTATGAATGGATGAAGAATCATTTGTTCTGCTCAGAATGTGACACGGAAATTATTTCGTTTTCTATTATTATTTCTTAGGGCGGAAGTGGTGTAGTGACAAGTGGCGCGCTCACCACGCGAGCGGTCCGGGGATCAAATCCTGGGTCGTGAGTCGCCCGGGCCAACCAAGCCTTCCATCCCTCCGGGGTCGGTTAATTGGTACCAGACTTGTCTGGGAGGATAAAAACACTGACTTGAACATCGGCTGGCCCCCGCAAGTCATTGTATAGGCCACATCGCATTCAACGCCACTGCGAATGTACAAATGGAAGTAGAATGCGTGCCGCATCCCAAAAAGGGATTGATCAACGGCAAATGCTTTATCCTTTATCCTTTTTTATCCATTCTTCTTGATCAGCTGGTATATGGGTGTTTGCCGACCGTTCATTTTCATTCCCCGTATCCTAATATTCCACTAAACGCATAACATTTTGGGTAATAGCACGGAGTGGGTATATAACACCTAAGATCCACACACTCACACGCGTCACACCGGTTCCAGGTATACTGAGTAGTGCAACTAAAATCTCCAATCTTTGCGCTCCCTACCCCGGGTACTTCAATGATTACTTACCAGGAAAGTCTTTCATTACAAGGAGCGCTTTTTTCGAAACGGTTATTTGCTTGTTTTAGGGAAAGGCGCAATCCTGAGGTTCATTTTTTTGAGCCACTCTGAGAATACCAGAAAACGTGTGGAAACTATGGCTCGTGGTTCGATACCCACTGAAGACAAATTTCTGCATTTCCCTTATTTCCACTTTCTGGGCTTCATGTATGTCTAAACCCATTCCTTGAACAAAAACCTTCCAATATGCAACTATTTAGTGCTACAAATGTGTAGAGCATATTCCACTTTCTAGTAGACGTTTTTTTCCTTTTTTTTCTGGAAAATCCAGGGTCGCTCAGAAAAATCCTCACCAGTTCTGTTTTCACGCACGTTCCCCTATAAAAAGTCACGATCTATTTTGAAAAAGCGCTCCCCGTCCTGAACGACTTTCCTGGTTAGGACTCAAACCCCGCCCTCAGTTCCTACACCACACATGTATGACTTCTCCATTGCTAGTCTATCCGCTTTTTTTCGGTTGCGGTTGTTCCGGAACCAGGATATAATGTTTCGTGGCAAGCTCCGTCCACTTCGGCGCATCCTTCCCCTCCTATTTGTCACCAACATTTGACCAATCCTGTTTTGTTAGCCTATTTCGGACTCAGGGCAGTTTGGGACCAAATTCCAAGCAAACGCGGCACTAAAACTGCGCTCTGCGTTGCACCATACGCCCACCATTTTCACTTAACCTCCACTTTTTTGCTAACTTGCAACCTCCAGTTTCCTGGTTGGGTTGTCTCGACACTCAGCATGTATAACGTGGTGATAAGCTGTGGTAAATATACCATGAAAAGCTGAGTTGGGATGAAATGGTGCCCCGGTAGCGTAACTGGTAGCGCACTTGCCCGGAAAGCGAGAGGTGCGGGTTCTAGTCCCGCCTGGGGCGAAAGTTTTGTTCACAACCCAGCACTCTTGCGAGAACTGTCTTATAGGTTTGAGTGCAAAAACACGCAGCGCTGGTACACTCGCATAAACTGCGGTACTCATAATGTTTACGCTGGAAGCGCTCAATTTTCTGGTCTCGTCCGAACTCTTTTCAAATACAGACCACTAGCTGGCCCAAAGCGAGTGCACTGCATGAGGTTCACTCATCGAGAAATAGAATCTTGTAAATTGAGGTTAAGGAGCCAGTGCAAAACTTCGAAACTCCTGTGCCGAGCAATTCTTTCGATTGAACATGATGTCTCTGTGTAGATTACTACCAGCTGACACTTAGGCTCTGCCAATTGCGTCCCTGGAATCGTTGACAATATAATACTAACCATAAGTGATAGGCAAATGTCATTAACTTCTAGAAAAAATGGCTAAACGTGAGAACTGTTTCACAAGAATGCTGGGTTGTGAACAAAACTTTCGCCCCAGGCGGGACTAGAACCCGCACCTCTCGCTTTCCGGGCAAGTGCGCTACCAGTTACGCTACCGGGGCACCATTTCATTCCAACTCAGCTTTTCATGGTATACGTACCATAGCTTTCAGCACTCACACGTATAACGTGTTGAGCCGGTTAGCCGATATCGGCAATGACCGCGAGGCTGAAAGCTATACGTGTGAGTGCTGACAAGCTATGGTACGTATACCATGAAGAAGCTGAGTTGGGATGAAATGGTGCCCCGGTAGCGTAACTGGTAGCGCACTTGCCCGGAAAGCGAGAGGTGCGGGTTCTAGTCCCGCCTGGGGCGAAAGTTTTGTTCACAACCCAGCATTCTTGTGAAACATTCGCAAGGCGAACTGCGGAAAAACAGCAGTTAACAAACAAAAACAAGTCAAAATCCGTTACAGCGGTGTGTTAGAAACGGTGATTCTCTTTCCTCAGGGAATTTGAGAACAACCGTTACTAAAAAGTAGACGGATTCTGTGAATACAACAGTTCTTATACAGGTCCCCTGCGACTTCGACGATAACATCTTCATTCTGGCAACATTCATGGATACAACATACTTGATTCTCTTCATTAACTTCTTCCTCAAGTCATACGTGTTGCGTGGTGGTAAATCGAAATACCAAGCAGTTCAGTCGAAATCCAAGAAGACGAACTAAAATCACGGGTATTAGATATTGTGCGTAGTGCACCTGTTATAGGTTGTTGTAGCTTAGCTATAGCCGAATTTTTGATTGTTTTGTTTTATTAAGGCGGTTATGAAGAGCTAGGTTTGCTCATTATTTTTTCCTCATCTAACTCCTCATAATTTTACTTACTTTTTGAGCAAGTAACCGTCAACATTATACCGCTTCGGCATTCACCTCATTTGTTTTGTTACATGCGTTGTGTGTGTTATAATAAATTGTTCAAGAGTGGAATTTGTGAACATTGTTGACTGCTTGCAGAGCGTTCTGCCTTGACTTTGATCACTCTTTCTAGGATGTGCCGTGCATTTGGCATGTGTGGATTGCGGGTATGTATACCCTGGAAAGAAAAAAAAAAGGAGCTCTCACACTAGGAGAGCGACATTTTGGTTCAGAGGCTCTTGTAGTTGATATCATTGACAAAGATCTTTTTCCGACGAAAAAAATCAAATTTTTTTCAAGATTTCAAATAATCACCTAATTGGGTTGACGCGACGCGAGCTTTGAGAAGGATGGTTAGCGAATTTGCTAAGAAAAAAAAAATAGATTGCTACTGTTTTTGCTCTCCGCTGGTATGGCAGAAAGGAGTAAATGCTTCCTGAAAACTCACGATGGGTGCAGTTTTTGGTCGGATCTGACCAGGAAATGCTTTCATGTTCCCGTGGAAGTATGAATGGAGTCTGGAATGCGTCATTAGAGTAATGGATGCTTGATACAAATATTGAGGCCAAAACTGCTACGCGAACGTCCCAAAGAAGTAGTGGGCGGTAAAAAATGAGAGAAAGGGTAGCGCCTACAGGGGGGGGGGCAAAAAAAAGAGTCACTTTCATTAACATCCAAAGCAAAATTAAGTACACTTCTGAATGAGCTTAATTGCGTATTGAAGAGCACATTCTATTCTATCAAAAAATTACATAGGGGCTTTCTACACCGACGACATCAGAAGATTTTCCCACGGAAACATGGTCACGGTACGAGCTCAACGAGGTCGTCGAGAAACCATAGACGATTACGACGTCTCTGAAACGCTGGTCAAAAGCCATTTGCATAGTCAGAGCTAGTGTCCCTAAGAAGCCATTCACCAGTTATCCGATTGAAGAAATTATGTAGCAGCTTCAGAATGGAGCGATTATGGTAGGCCTCCTTGAGCTCGACGGTGATGACAGATGACGTCATATTCTGGTGAAGGCAGCGAAGGTGGGCCTGATTCTGCTTATGGGGGGACATCTAAGGAATATTTCGCCGTATAACTCCCAATAACAGCGGCATCCTTTGCGACGAAAAGTTTGATGATATGCGCCATGGCAAAGTGACTTTTTTGCCCCCCCCCCCTCTGTAGGAGGCGAGCTAATCTAACCGCATCGGCATTTTTAGTTTTTCTGAAACAATACCAATAAAGGTAAGCAGATAGCCTGATTGCAAGTATGACATTCATTTTAGCGACAGAGGCGATGCCGCAATGCCACAATTCACTTTTTTCCTGAATTTTTGGCCAACTTTGACCGCTCACAACTGCCTAGAAAGATCGCGTAGCAGTTTTGGTCCACATGCCTGTGATTAGTATTCAGTACTCTACCGATTTGCCTTGGTCTCCTTCCAACGTTCTATGGAGATGTGGAAGGATTCCCTAGTAAGTCTTTCCTATATTTATGCCTTCATGTCTAGCAGGAGAATATCTATCGAAACATCCTGGAACCCTTTTCGTAACCATTATCGCGGAAGTCGGGAGATTTAAGGGATATTATTTGATGTGTTTGTTTTCCATTTTGCTGTCATAATTTGTTATTGTTAGTGGCTTGCCGTAAATTTCAATCTTGGTAGCAGAAAACATTGAAGCCGTGGGATACTGATTCCTTTTTGTAGAAGCTCAAGCATATTTTGTTTAGCTCGCCAGCTCTGAATAAATACTGTTACTATTTTCACGCTAAGGCTCAACGATTTTTCAATCTATCGTCCTGGTTTTCGTTGAATATTTCAAACAAATGTGCTCATGTACTTTTGTTTCAAAGTAGCACTTTTCCGCTGTCTTCGCATCCTTTGTGGCAAGCCGCGCAGACCCATAACACATACAGGGGCGGGGTCAGAAAAAAATCGCTCTGTCAATGGCGCATACCATCGAACTTAATGGCACATGGCGCCGCTCTTATTGAAGGTTTTGCGGCAAAATATTCCATGGGTGTTCCTCCATAAGCATGCCCTACTTCACTGC